TCATTCCTCACAAAGGGTGACACTTCCCCAGCATGCACCCAGGGGGTGGGGCCGACGCAGCAGGGCTGGTTCCTCGCTGTTTCCAGACGGCCTTATGGAGCTAAGACTGAATGCGTTTCAGCATAGATAGCCACCACAAAACTGTACATTGGCTCCCTCCTGGCCGGCCTGGGCCAGGGCCAGGGCAGCGGGGGTCGTTTCCTCACTGTTTCCAGGATGGCTTCGCGGGCCACATCCGGCCCCTGGGCCTTGTGTTTGACATGCCTGCATTATTGCAGAACAATATTGCTTTACAAAATATAATTTCACCTTATCTATTACTTTCATTATTGTTGGTGTTGTTGTTAGTTGCAAAGTCGTGTCCGACCCATCGCGACCCCATGGACAACGTTCCTCCAGGCCTTCCTGTCCTCTACCATCTTCTGGAGTCCATTTAAGCTCACACCTACTGCTTCAGTGACTCCATCCAGCCACCTCATTCTCTGTCGTCCCCTTCTTCTATTGCCCTCAATCTTGCCCAGCATTAGGCCCTTCTCCAGTGAGTCCTTCCTTCTCATTAGGTGGCCAAAGTATTTGAGTTTCAACTTTAGGATCTGGCCTTCTAAAGAGCAGTCGGGGTTGATCTCTTCTAGGACTGACTGGTTTGAACGCCTTGCAGTCCAAGGGACTTGCAGGAGTCTTCTCCAGCACCATAGTTCAAAGGCCTCAATTCTTTGTCGCTCAGCCTTTCTTATGGTCCAACTTTCACATCCAACTTTCATTATTACTTTACCTATTACTTTCTTATATGTATGTGAATATACTTGCACACAGAGAAAATAAAACAGCATTTTGAAAAACTGGAAACAAAATGAGCAAAAATATAAACTCCTATGGATTTCTAAGCCTTCATAGTCTTTGTTTTAACCTTTTACTATTTCAAGGAATATCTCCAATTGAATAAAAAGAATAAGGACAATGCAAAAAGTTTGAAACTTTTCTGTTATGGTTAAAGTAGACAGTTGTTCTTTCTTCCTTGGCTGAAGTATACAATGTAATAGATTCACAACTGGATTACTGCAGTCTCTTTTTAAAGTTTAAAAAAACACAATTAGAGATGTCAACTAGCAAAAGTTAACCATTTTGAGGGATCATTAAACATGATGAAATCTGGACAAAATTGCTTTCCAGTTACTGGAGAAAAAAAAAGAGTATAGCAAAATGTTTTCTTTTCCCACAGTGGAAGCACTGTCTTTATAAGAAGGAAACATTTTCCAGTGGAAAGAGAGGTTGAAGAACTAAAACAACATATAAAATCTTCCACAACATTTGCTGCTCCAAGTTAATTCAAGGCCTGTTATTCCCCTCACCACCACCCCTGGCAAGTTTTAAATTTCATGAGATGCTGAAAAATCAAAGCAAATACTTTTGTGTAGAGATGTCCACAACTAATAAGAAATTTATTGAGTCAAGATATCTAAAAATAATCTATTGTGCATACTTTTAAAAATTTTTAAATGACTACTACATACCTAATATGTTAAACTTGGCAAAGAAAGATGGAGACTTAAAATTCAACAGTAGAAGAATGATGGTTAAATAAAATGGAACGGTTTTGGATTTGTCCCACCACTTTTCAAATTCCTCAAATCCAGCAGCATTGGTAGAAGTAAATTCAAAAGTTTCATTTCCTGGTACTTCATGGCTACCATCGCTAGGACATATTACTGTAAAATTAAAAAGGAAAGAAAATGATTGTTTAGCTTAAGGAAATCATTTGCACTTGGTGGTGATGGTGATAGTGAGGAAGTATGTGTTGGAAATCAAAGCTTGAACTTTAGTTAAATGTTTCTCAATCTTGGTTGGCTGGAAATTCTGGGAATTGAAGTCCACCCAACCCCAAAATTGCCAAGGTTAAGAAACACTGCATTAGATTAACCTCTTCAAATAAGCATAAGCAGTGCCCTGCTGGCCCATATAGTCCAGTTGTCTGTTCTTACAATGGCCAATTGTACAAGAAAGTCCGCTAGATTCCCTTCAGAGCAGTCTCACTGCCACTAAGACTAATAGCCACTCATCCTTATGGCAAAGAATCATTTATGTCTAAAGCAAAACAATAACCTGAGAATAAATATATGAACTCTAATCCATAGAAAAGAGTCAGTTTCTAATCCATAGAAAAGAGTCAGTGGTTAAAGGCATCAGCTAGAAACCAGGAGATAGTGTTCTAGTTCTACCTTAGACACAAAGGCAGCTGAGTGACCTTGGGCCAGTCATTGACTTTCTTTGCCCTAGTAAGAAGGCAATGGCAAACCACTTCCAAAATCATGACAAGAAAACCACAGGGATTAGTCCAGGTATTGCCAGGAGTCAACACTGATGTAAACGCACCAAAACCAAAAACATACAAGCTCTGTTTATGGCAGGCTTACTTTTATTTAAGCATGATCTCCATATTGTTTATATGCACACATAATTCTTGCAGGTAAGAAATGAATACTGGGAGTGAGCCTTCCTTTGCTTGGTATCCTTCAGATACCATTATTATAGCTACTGCCATTTCCAGACAACATGACCAAAGGCCTTGGGCTATGCTGCCCAGAATGATGGGAGCTGCACTCCAGTAACTCTGAAGTACCTCTGAACAATAATCCCTATCCTTCATCATGCAAACTGCCCTTTTCATGCTGCCATATGGTCATTAGGTCTCTGATAGGGAAAGATGGGATGTGCAATAAAAGAGTGCTGCATTTAACATCTCATTTGTTGCAGTTGCGTAAATTAATACACTCTTCCCCTATTCACCATTTGTTGCAATGAAAAGAGAAGAAGGATCAAGGCAGCTATCAGAGGGTTATAGTTTTCCAGTGTATTAATAAGTCAGGTTGAATCTAGATACATTAAAATGTTGGTTTTATTTCACTCAAAACATTTCGACAGTTGGGCAGTGCTGTAATTCCCAATGAAATCACCACAACTTTTGTAGCTCAAATCATTTGAATACTGATTAGTCTAACTTATAACTCCTTGCACAGAAACTCATTTTGGCAATTTTTTCCTTCCCAAGTCCCCCCAGAATTACTGGGGTTGCTTATGAGGTGGATACTCTTTTCCTTTTGTTATAAGTCTTAAAAACCTACATAGGAAATTGGCACTTTCTCAAAATTAGCCACACAGCACATATGTGTCCAGCCAGAGTTATAATGTACCACTGAACACATCCTTGGGTGCATACAAATTATAAAACATATGCACATCAGGAAGGCATCTGAGCTGGAATTAACACAATCCACAAATGTACTCAACAGGAAAGAAATAGCTAACACTCTGTCATCTATCGTATATATAATTCCTTTATATTTTTTGTTTTATAAGACTCTTGATGTCCCTGAATATGTTTTCTCTTCCCCTTACTCTCAAACTGGTTTCTTTCTAGAGCACTGCCTCAGTTCTAGCCTAGTGAAACAAATCCAAATACTGCAAAGATGCCACGTAAGCTGCAAAATAATCTTTTGGATCATTATTAGGAGCCAAGGGTACAGTCTACCAAACTGCAGGCTTCTAAGTAGCACATAAGCAGCATGGAATTTCAGCAGCATGTAGTCATGTATGGTTGGATATAGCTCTGCATCTTAGTTAAAGGATGTTTCTCCTGGATGTCAGCAGATTCCAATATCTGTTTACTTATTTTTGATTTTTCATAGCCCCAACAACTTGAAAGACTTATGTGGATTACAGCAAGTTCAAACTATAAATGCAACGGTAGATTCATAATAGCGTACTGCATTCAGATCCAGCATTCTTTCCCTTTAACAACAGATTTCTGAGTTGCAGATAATACTTTGCACAAAGGGGAAGATAATACATCCAGCATTCTTTCCTTTAACTACAGATTTCTGAGTGGTACATGATACTTTGCACAAAAGGGAAGATAACACAATTAAGCAACAGATCCAGACAAGTGGAACTCTACAAGGAAGGTGCTTTCTTATATTTTTAAGATATTAATACACATAAAAAGAGTTCCAGAGTACTGTCTATTCCTTTTACTCATTAAATTTGCCACCATTCATTTTATACAACTTCCTCATAGTTGTGCAGTATTTTCCAAATGGGAACTTTGACTTTTATTTATGAAGTATATGACAATAATAAAGATCTGATTTGATTTGATTTGACTCTTACAACTCCCTAATATTCAAAAGATATCATGCTGGAAATTGCTAGGTTAGATCTAGGTGGAAGACCAAAATCATATAGCAGAAGGCTATCTTTTTGAGAATCTAGTATAAGATGTCATTAGCCATGATTTATACAGAAAGCATGAACTAATTTCCCAGTGAATTTTTTTCATCCCATGCCGGCCTTTTGCCTAGCTGGCTACAACTCCCTGAAGCACAAACCTTTGTGGAGAATAGATTGATGTAAAAGAATAATTAGCATTATTTTTCCAGTTTGTTTGTTCCTTGCTATCTATATAACTGTAGTATTTGAGAAAAATTAATAGCATTTCTGAAATTTATATGAAGTTACAGTGAAGGCTGAATTCTTCCTATTGGTTTGATGCAACATTTAGCTAGCACAGTTAAGAATAGTACCGTGTAATAACAAATAATGAAATAACATCAGGGTGGCTTTTGAAATAAGCTTTTAAAACTAAGATGTTTCTATTGTGAAACTATGATCCCTCTGTTCTGCAAATATCTGAAAAAAACATTTTTTTTCCAAAATACTAAACTATTCAAGTGACTAAACTAGTAGACCAGCGAAAAAAGCTAAAAAGTGAGATTGTGCTATTACCAGGATGGACAAGACTAACATTTCTGAACCTTTTTTTTTTTTGTTCTCATTCATCTTGTAGTCGGAAAGGGCTCTGTGCTAGGTGGTAAATTTCATGCCTTAAGATTTGCACAACTTTATGGCACTATTGTAGTTCTCAATTGTTCACCCAAGCAAAAGAAGGATTCATTGTTTGAGGAAAGGCTATATTTAGAACTTTCCACCTGGAAAGGCGGAAGTTCTAAAAGTGTTTACATATGCACTATTACCAGCATCTATTTCCATGGTTGAGAATTTGAGTCAGTGAAACACTGTGTGGTCTTCAGTTATTATCTATCTGAAAGCAAGACAATTATCTTTTATGGATTTATTGTTTAGGAATTATTTACCAAGATTATTCTTCTCTGCCTACTTTGAATCTATGAGGAATGCAAACATGCGAGGCTTACAAATGATTTGCCATCCCAACTGCCTCACAATGTTGAAAAGAGGTATATTTATTGAGAATTTTGTCCTTAAGGTAAACCAGATTCCAAGTTTCGGGAACACTGCAACAGCAAGAAATTGTTTTTCCAGTTTGCTTACCTCTATTGCTTCCATTTGTACCAGGAACAATGTCTGTTACATTAATGTCATTAATATAATCTAAAAAAAATAATAAGGAAACTTACTTAAAGGCACAGAACAATATTCCAACAGTATTCCAAAAGAAATATGTTTTAGAACATTCATAATATGTACTAAAAACAATATAAAGAGATTAATGCAACTTCTGAGGAAAACTGGATCTCTTTTTCATGAAATGTCCCTTTTTTTAAACTAGCATCAGGAGAAAAACAAGATATATGCAAAGAGTATGTTGAATCAACATGTCCAAGGTAGACTTGAAATATCAGGCTAGGGATTGATCACCTTGGGAAAAATCTGTCTATGTGGATAATGGAGTCGAAAATTGATGGCACATAATTAATCAGTTCAGTCTATGATATATCTTAACTTCCACCGAAAAAAAGACTTTTGAAACATGGTTAATTTGCGTATTTTCTCATGAAACCTTAAAGGCACTGGAATAATAATGATGTGGAGAGGAACAGTAGTCCTTGACTTACAACCATTTGTTTATTGACCATTCAAAGTTATAACGGCATTGAAAAAAAAACTTATGACAATTTTTCACATTTATGACTGTTATAGTATCCCCATGGTCATGTAATCAAAATTCAGACTGGTAACTGGCAGTGGTGGGATTCAGCCGGTTTGCACCACTTCGGCAGAACAGGTAGCTAATTTTTTGTTGCCCAGGCCCAGAATGGACTTCCGGAAGCAGCATCCACACAGAGAACCGGTTGTTCACATATTTGAATCCCACCACTGGTAACTGGCATGTATTTATGATGATTGCAGTATCCTGGGCTCATGTGATCACCTTTTGTGACTTTCTGACAAGCAAAGTCAATGGGGAAGCCAGAGTCACTTAACAATCCTCCTATTAACTTAATAGCTATAGTGATTCACTTAACAAATGTGGCAAAAAAGTCGTAAAATAGAACAAAATTCACTTAACAACTGTCTTGCTTAGCAACAGAAATGTTGGGCTCAATTGTGGTCGTTAAGTTGAGGACAACCTGTAATCTTATCTCTGTCTCTGAATCATAAGATCTAAATTACAATATTCTATTAAAGGAGAACACAAACATCTTGCCTAAAAAGCTTAACATGATAAAATCTAGTATAAACTTTATGAGTTTGGAGAAAAGAATGTATAAGAAAAAGGTTCATTGCATCATATATATGGTCTTGTAAAGTTATTCCATGTTATATCAGATTCTACATTGGCCTATTTTTTTAAAATAATAGAAATCACACATTGAAACATAGAAAGTTGATATACTCTTATTGTTTGCAGTCAGACAGGTAGTAGCAAGATTCTGGAGAGCAGGAAAGAATCTGAGTATTTCCATATGGTGGAAAATATACTGGAAAACTGGTTAAATGGAAAAGTTAACCAATAAAACAGAATATGATTTTTACTTCACTGGTTTCAGCATATGTGTAATAAAGGCATAATGATTGCCTATTAGCCAGTTCCAGACTTAGCCAGACTTCTAGACAAGATAAAAATGACAAGTATAGAAAGTAGAAAGAGGGACACATAACTAAGTCAGAATATCAGCAAACAGCCCAAGCCTGCAAAGATGAAGTGAGGAAAACTAAGGCTCAAAATGAACTAAGGCTTGCAACCAAAGTCAAAAATAACAAAAAAAAGCTTCTTTCAACATGTAAAAAAGAAGAAAAAAGTGAAGGAAATGATTGGTCCATTAGTGGGTGAAAGTGGCAAGAAGGTGACAAGCAACAGAGAGAAAGCAGAACTATTTAACTCATTTTTTGCATCTCTCTTTACACAAAGGGAAAAAACAGACCAACCTATCAAAAATAGTGTCATAAAAATAGAATAGAAACACAAGTTAAGATAGGCAAGAAAATGGTAAGTGAGCACCTGTCCAGCCTAGACGAGTTCAAATCACCAGGACCAGATGGATTACACCCCAAGGTTCTCAAAGAACTGGCAGATGTGATCTCAAAACCACTGAACTATATTTTTCAAAAATTCCTGGAGCACTGGGAAACTATCAGAGGACTGAAAAAGAGCTGATGTAGTTCCCATTTTCAAAAAAGGAAAAAAAATGGATCCAGGAAATTACAGACCTATCAGCCTGACCTCAATACCTGAGAAGATTCTGGAAAAGATAATCAAACAATGAATCAGTGAACACCTACAGGCAAACAAAGTCATTACTAAAAGCCAACATGGATTTGTCAAAAACAGATCATGCCAGACAAATCTTATTGCATTCTTTGACCAAGTGACAAAATTAGTGGACCAGAGGAATGCTGTGGATATAATTTATACTTGGACTTCAGTAAGGCATTTGATAAAGTAGATCACAACCTACTACTTAATAAGATAGAAAAATGTGGGTTAGACAGCATCATCACCAGATGGATTCATAGCTGGCTGACCGGCTGTATTCAGCGTGTGATCCTCAATGGAACCGCATCTACATGGAGGGAAGTGTGTAGTGGGGTGCCCCAGGGCTCTATTCTGAGCCCAGTGCTCTTCAACATCTATATCAACGATTTGGACAAGGGGATAGATGGGGAACTCATCAAATTTGCAGACGACACCAAGCTGGCAGGAATAGCCAACACTCCAGAAGACAGGCTTAGGATACAGGAAGATCTGGACAGACTTGAATACTGGGCGCTATCTAACAAAATGAAATTCAATGGTGAAAAAAGTAAGGTTCTACATTTAGGCAAGAAAAACCAAATGTACAGGTATAGTATAGGGGGTACCTTGCTCAATAGTAGTACCTGTGAGAGGGATCTCGGAGTCCTAATGGACAATCACTTAAATATGAGCCAGCAGTGTGCTGCAGCTGCCAAAAAAATCAACACAGTTCTAGGCTGCATTAACAGAGGGATAGAATCAAGATCATGTGAAGAATTAATACCACTTTACAATGCCTTGGTAAGGCCACACTTGGAATACTGCATCCAATTTTGGTCACCACGATGTAAAAAAGATGTTGAGACTCTAGAAAGAGTACAGAGAAGAGCAACAAAGATGATTAGGGGACTAGAGGCTAAAACATATAAGGAACGGTTGCTGGAATTGGGTATGTCTAGTTTAATGAAGAGAAGGATGAGGGGGACATGATAGCAGTGTTCCAATGTCTCAGGGGCTGCCACAAAGAAGAGGGAGTCAAGCTATTTTCCAAAGCGCCTGAGGGCAGGACAAGAAGCAACGGATGGAAACTAATCAAGGAGAGAAGCAACCTAGAACTAAGGAGAAACTTCCTGACAGTTAGAACAATTAACCAGTGGAACAACCTGCCTCCAAAAGCGGTGAATGCTCCAACACTGGAAGTTTTTAAGAAGAGACTGGACAGCCATTTGTCCGAAATGGTATAGGGTTACCTGCCTGAGCAGGGGGTTGGACTTGATGACCTCCAAGGTCCCTTCCAATATAATAATAATAACAACAACAACAACAACAACAACAACAATAATAATAATAATAATAATAATAATAATAATAATAATAATAATAATAATAATAATAATTATTATTATTATTATTATTATTATTATTATTATTTAATTAAAGACTGTAAGTATTTTGTTTCTACACATACTCCATGGCATTGTTAATGCACATAAATAAAATGGGGAGCAAATCCATCTACATTAGGAAAACAAAATAGCCTGGTCTACCTTTTTACACTGCAATGCATATATTGCCATCTAGTGGCTAAATGGTTTAAACAAGTAAATATGTCTTATTAAAGCAATACTTCCCAAACGTTTTCCTTTATTACCCCACACTGCTAATCAGAAACTCTTATCATATTTTGAGAATCAGTCCTAAGTCCCTTCATTCAGCACCATCACAACTTTAGAGTGGTCACTGAATGAAAAGTCATAACTCAAGGAATACCTGCATTATAGAAACAACATCAATGAATGATTTTTATGTGATTTCTACAAATTTCCATTGGTAATTTCACCATTTTTGTCTTAATAGGAATACTTTGGGAGATTTTCAAATATATGTTGGTACATGTGACAATATTTAAGTCAAGTTAAATGTTCCCGTTGTGATGGATAATGTCATTGTGTCATTACCCAAACCTGCCCTCCCCCCACTTTTATCCAGTTTTGGGTAATTATACAGGTTTGGGAAGCACTGCATTAATAAAATAATCTACTTGACAGCATTTCTTTCTAATTGTAATAGGCTTATTGCAACCAACTAGTATTTGCTTCCAGGTAAATGTGTTTAGGGTCAGAAAACCATAGTATGATATGTGATATGATAGAAAAGTAAGGTATCTAACCACTCAAACCATCATTAAAAATTTACAAAGCTCAAAAAGTAGCTGTAAATAAAGAATGTGCTTGTTTGCAAAATCAGTACTAGGATATCAAAATGCAAGGGGCTTTTCCGGGAATTGCTGTTAATTCATGCCACCACACGTACACACAAAAATACTGTTACTTCTGTTAATTCAGTTAAGAAATTACTTGGTGTCAACCCTGGTTTATAAAAATAAAATTCCTGAAGAAATGTATACATACATTGGGCCTTCAGTACAGGGAATCCTCAACTTACAACAGTTCATTTAGTGACCAATGTTACAACAGCAATGAAAAAAGTGACTTATGACCACTTTTCATGCTTGAAACATCCCCATGGTCACATGATTTACATTCAGATGCTTGACAACTGGTTCATATTTATGAGAGTTGTAGTGTCCTGGGATCATATGACCATCTCTTGCGACCTTCTGACAAGCAAAGTCAATGGGGGAACCAGCTTCACTTAACAACCATGTTGCTAATTTAACAACTGCAGTGATTTTCTTAACAGATGTGGCAAGCAAAGTTGTAAAATGGGGCAAAACTCACTTAACAATTTTTTCACTTAGCAGCATAAATTCTGGGATCAATTGTGGTCGTAAGTCGAGGACTACCTGTATGTACTTAGGACAATTTGGAGAAAAAAATTGTACATCTAGTTTTAGATTCAACACCCACACTTTTTTTAGAAGCATGTCAAATGGAGGACAGCAGTTTCTTAAAATCTATCAGATCTACGGTATGTTCTTTCAACTTGGCACTGGATGGAATGTGACGATGGGAAAGAATTCTTACTCTGAAGTCTGCATACATATATTTTCTGTCACATTGGAACTAATGGAAAGAAAATGGAGAAAAAACAGTGTCCATAAAAGAATGAGTTGCTTCAGAATCTCTCCTATAATGGCTTTCTTCCCTTCATCATCTTCCGCCCTGGTATCTGAAGCTCTATCTATAATTTAAAAATCTATTATCTTGATGATTTCATTTTTATGCCCAAAGAAAGATAACTGGCAAATATATATTCTTATATTAGAAGAGATTTTTATCTTTTCTAACATCCTTATGCACATGTGTGCATTTATTAAATTATATGATTTATTTAACATTTAGAGAAGGTGAGGGGTTTTTTTAACTAATGCAATCCCAAGGCCCCCCTTGTATCTATTTATTAAGTAGAAACACTCTGTCCCACATGAAAGCAATTAAAAGAAAAATGTATACTTACTATAAATACACTTTCCAGTGTTGAAAAGGAAATTAGTCATTAGCACCCAGTAAACCACCATCGCTCCAATAAGTGACACCAATGAAAATAAAAGGCTAGACCACTGACCAAAAGATCCAAAGTAATATTTACAAACATCTGGGAATTCCCAAGTTGAGGTATCTACTGAAGCTGAAAAAAAAGAAAAAGAAGATATTGATTTAATTCTGTACTAATTATTTTAAAGTCTTCATAGCAGGCTGATAACAGGCTTAAAACAAAAGGGACACTGCTATTATAATTATTTGTACAGTATAAAGTAAAACACAAACTGAAAGAAATTGATATTTCACGTATATGTATATATACATGGAGATACATTTGTAGATTTGAGAGCCATCAAATAGCTGACTTGTATCCCTATATATATATTATATGATTTATTTAATATTTAGAAAAACTGAAGTTTTTTTGAACTAATGTAATCCCAAGGGCCCCCTTGTATCTATTTATTAATTAGAAATACTCTGTCCCATAGGAAAGCAATTAAAAGAAAAATGTATACTTACTATAAATACACTTTCCAGTATTGAAAAGAAAATTAGTCATTAGCACCCAATGACACCAATAAAAATAAAAGGCTAGACCACCAAAACTTCAGTTTCTCTAAAAATGTTAAATAAATCATATAATTTATATATAGGGAAAGAAGTCAACTAATCCAGGAGAGAAGCAACCTAGAACTAAGGAGAAACTTCCTGACAGTTAGAACAATTAACCAATGGAACAACTTGCCTCCAGAAGCGGTGAATGCTCCAACACTGGAAGTTTTTAAGAAGAGACTGGACAGCCATTTGTCCGAAATGGTGTAGGGCAGTGGTTCTCAACCTGTGGGTCGGGACCCCATTTGGGGTCGATCGACCATTTCATGGGGGTCGCCAAGCAAGACTGTCCGCCATTTTTTTTGTCCGCCATTTTTTCCCCTTTTCCGGCGGGTGCCTTACCTCCCTTGGGCTGGGCCAGCTGGTGGTCGGCCTGCTCCGTCTCTGCCGCTTGCCAGCTACGCCTCGGCTGGCGCAGGGGGCGGAACCGCGCATGCGCGGCGCTCCCGGGCAGGGAAAGTCCTCGACTTATGACCGGTTGGGTAGTCCTCGACTTACGACCGGTTTAGTCCTTGACTTACGACCGGTTTAGTCCTCGGCTTACGACCTGTTGGGGTCGTGGCATTAAAAAGGTTGAGAACCACTGGTGTAGGGTTTCCTGCCTGAGCAGAGGGTTGGACTCGATGACCTCCAAGGTCCCTTCCAACTTTATTATTATGTTATGTTATGTTATGTTATGTTATGTTATGTTATGTTATGTTATGTTATGTTATGATATGATATGATATGATATGATATGATATGATATGATATTATATTATATTATATATTTGATGGTTCTCAAACCTACAAATGTACAAAAGAGACCAACGTTAACATTTGGACTTGTACATCCTGCCAAGTTTGAGATAGTCAAATTATATAATCTGATAAAATTAGAAAGATTTAGGAGTTGCCCATTAACAAATTCAGGAATATTTCTCTTATTGGGAGACTACTCTGTTCATTTCATTGCTACTTCCATTTTAATATATTACCTTAGGAAAGTCCTGTGTATTCTAGAAAATGTAGACAAAAAGGTAGTCTGGGATCATTAAAACTGCACATCTTTGAGTCATGTTCTTAAGTGCACCAATCTCTACAGCAGGCCCACACATAGTTTAATGAAACATATATATTTACTAAAACAATATACTTACGTATCATTGACCTAGACTTCAAAACTCTGTAGCAACAATAAAGAGTCAATATGCCCATCAGTGGAATAATACAGATTCCAGTAGTAAATCCAGCCTGTTTGAAAAGTAAACATTTAACTAAATACTTATACAAATTATGGCATTAATGCAAACTGTTATGCACGATTTAGCAGGCAAAATTTGTCCTAACACAGAGACACAAAATTGTGCTACCTGTTTTATTCCCCAGGGAATACTTAATATAGATGTACCCATCATTGTATTCCAGATCATGAATCTAAGTCAGAGGGAAAACACAAAGAACAACCATAAGAAAACTTGCATTATATTTGAGGCCAATTCAAACATTTTGAATGTATTTCAAAATAGAATACTTTAAATAAATAAATGCAAGCAAAACACTTCACATACATTGTTACTATACTGGAATTTTTGCCAGAACCATCAGTAGAGCCATCAATTTTGCAAGCGGTTCCCAAAGGACTATACACGTAGATTTCTTCTGGAGCAGGAAGAACATGATCAGGGGCCACCTAACAAAAGAGGGGAGCCCATAGCATTAGTTCAGACTAAATCTTTAACATTTCAGTATCGTTTGCATTGTTTGGCTTCACAAGTCTAGATATGGAAAGTTTGGTTACAGTTATTCTGACAATTTTCAGATCTAGTGCTAATTCTTTTGACTCATAAAAAGTATTCTGTCCAGGTTCAGATTAAATCCTGCTTTCTTTTTTCTTTTGTTTGCCACAGAAATTGGTCTGTTAATATTAACCTGAGGAACCATCTCACTCCAATGGGATTGGTCTGCCCCACTTGTGCAGACAGAAGGGGCATGCTGCAAACCCTGTTGACCAAGGAATTCTGCCTGGAAGGGTTCAGAAGAGCCTTTTCTATTATGGCTTCCAATCTCTGGAACATCGTCTCCCTTGAGGGGAGATCTGCCCCCACCCTCTTGTCCTTCCAAAAGGACTTTAAAATCTGGCTCTGCCAATTGGACTGGTATCCTGATGGGGGCACTCTATACTGGAGATCTTTAATAGACTGAGAGAAGATTCTACCTCCATCCCATTTGTATTTTTGCTTCCTTCCTCAGCCATCATTCTTAATTTTATTAATATTTATCATTTAAATATTTTAATGTTTTATATTGTTGTTTTACCTTGTTGTAGGCTGCCTAGAGTCAACTGATGGTGAGATGGGCAGCATATACATTTAATAAATAAATAAATACTAAATATAAAAATTATTCAGTCCTGGCTCAGATTAAATCCTTTTTTTTTTGTCTGACACAGAAGTTGGTCTATTAATATTAACCAACTTTACTTTAAAAGGATCTGCTCTGCCTTGAAATCTGCTTCTCAGACATTGCTACTAATGAAATATGAATTTATTTATAAGATCATCTCTAGTGATTTTATGATATTTGAGAAATACGCAGTTCCTCATACATCTGATTTATGTATAATCCAATTTTTTGACAAATGCAATCCGACATATTACATCTTTTTTCCAGATATACAAACTGATTTTTTTAAAAAAAAAAACCAAGCTGAAAGGATAGCTCTCAGGTCATGCAGATAAATCAATCAGATTTTGTCTGATAGAATATTCCTAAATAGAGATTAAGTAATTGAGAAAACACCCAAGGCTGTCATGGCTTTTCTAACTGAGCTTATGCAATAATTCAACTTTCATTCACCAATGCTCTGTCAGAAGGCGAAGTGAGCCTGTTGTAGTAGTGAATCCGCTTGTTCATTGCTGAAGCTTCATCTGTTACTCTCTGTGTATCATCATTCACCCTAACAATGTTTGTTGGTTCTACATGGAATGGTCTAAAAGAAAAACAAAAAGTTGGTTACTGTTTAAGTCAGGATTAATAAAGGGCCAGTCCACAATACCATATTTGTATTATTTGTTTATGTTTATTTGAAAAATTAATAAAAAAATTGTAAAAAAATAAAATAAAGGGCCAGTCTGTCACTGACAATGGCAACAAATAGCTATTTCTGAAGAGGATTTTTATGCGTTTATAACTTTACAAGGTCAAGCATATAAACTTACTAAAGTTCATTACATTTTTTTAAAACAAACATGTTCCCAAATACTTTAATTACATAAAGGTTCATAGAGAATTATTTTAGAAGATTCAGATGCTATTTGTGCAAGCTTTCTCATGTACAGTTGTCAAGTAAAATACACTGTCTTTTCTTCATGATCTTAAAACCCAACAGCCCCATTCCAAAATTGAATGAGGATTTCTGCAAAGAAATGCATTACACTGTCAGGATTTACCACAGTAGTAGTTTGGACACAATGCACTGAATCACAAATTAGGCCAATGTTTCTTAACCGTGGCAATTTGAAGAGTTAAACTCCCAGAATTCTGAGAGATGATCACATATGTTCAAGCTGCCAAGGTTTAGAAACACTGAATCAGGCAATCATATTTATAAATGGATTCCACATGGTTAGAATATGAGTGTGAATCCAGAAATTATTCAGGTCAGATAACTATGAGCAAATGAGTCATACAAGCCAAGCTGAAGAATAAAGTTAGTACAGTTAAACTCTCGTGTACTGTTATATTTTTGGGAATCTAATTAAAAAGGAATAGCAGCCTCAATTGCTCTGGATTATTTATTTGACTGAATCTATACACCATCAGTGTAATCTATTATGACAGGACAAGAACAAAATAAAAATGACACACTTATGTTGGCCACAAGACATATAGTTCAGTGTCTCTCTGGCTGACCAAAATACCAATAAAATTATCCCTGGAACCACAAATTATATACATAAATGCTCTGTGTTTGAGGAAATGGAAGAATCTGTTAGCATTTTGATCAGGATGGATTAAATGTCATTCCAGAAATATTTTCTTAAAATTCTTAATATATAAGATAATGCAAATTGTTTATCCTAGCAGCCTGATATGGTTTGCCACTGACCTCATGGCACATTCTCTCCAAATAGGGCTAACTTTACAAATGCAAGAACAATCATGCCCAAAATGATGTCAACTGGGACACAGATTTCCTAGAAGTTTGCCAACTCCAACCTACGCTCAAGATTCCTGTGTTTCTCTTCTGTAATGTTTTAGAGTTGATTCCCACCTGTGAATGTCTAACTTATTAATCACAGCTGGAGCATAGAGTGATGTCAAAGCCCTCCTATGGTGTTTGGCTTACAAAAGTTGTTCTGAGCATTTGCAAATCATCTTCTGATGCTGTAGCAATGATTCAGGAAATACACATGTGCAAACTTGCACTTAATCTGGCTATACAATAAATGTCAGGGCTTCATATGCCTTGGATTTCCATAACTTCCTATTGCTAAAGGCTGAGTAAGTTTTTAAGAAACACGTATCTTCCTTGTGTATGCAGAAAATAAGATGACTTTGTAACAAAAATATATGTAATCAATTTCTAAGAGAACAGCTATAATGCTGACTTCTTTAAACAATATTTTCATATAGAATTTCTCTGGGAACTACAGTCTCAAGGTTTTAAGCAGGCACTGTTTTGAGGAAGGTAGCAATTCTCTAGTGCTCCTGTCACAACTACTGTGTCATGAAAAACCCATAAATCATGGTTTGGAGACTATAGTGGCTGGCTTCATTCAGCCCAAACTAAACCTATCAAATTGTGGTTAAGCATATTGTATGAAAGCTTAGTTAGCTGCAAAATAGGACATCACCAAATTTAGGATCAGACCCAAAATTCCAGTGATCTGTTTTTGTTTGATCCTGAGCAATCTTTATATATGCAGACTTACCTTCCTATTCATTCTAGAATAAGCCACATTAATGGATATATTTCTGTACAGTGTTCACTTACTCTCTACTTGCTCTGCCCTTATGAAAGTATAACGAATTAGTATAGTGCACTATGGAAAAATGTCAAAAGTGCAAATTTAGAAACATAACAATTCTCTTCTATTCTTAAAAAGTTCTCCTTTCTACAATGATTACAAAAATATAGGCATGTTCTCCAATTTGGCCACCAAGACCTTTGTCTCCTATATCAAAAGCCGATCTTCAGCAGATATATATTAATGACAATGGACTAACTTCACACCCTATGTTAAACTATAAAGCCATAGTTTACTACTGTAAATAAATTGGCTGGGTTCACATATTGTTTTAATCCACAAGCAAGCAAATCACATCATGATTTACTGTGCTGTGTAAACTTAAGTCGTGACATACAAATATAAAAGTTTTAGCCCGTGTTGTTATTTGTCACATAATGAGATTTTGTGTATTTAAGTAATTAGGGCTTTACAGATTACTATGAAACCTTAAATCACTATTATTGAAATCAACCCAGCATTGTCACTTAAGGCACAAAGGATCGGGCACAAATTATCCTACTTCGGACACATTATCTGATGGCCCAAATCTCTGAAGAAAGTTCAAAGCTGGGAGAGATGGAAGGAAACAGAAGACAATGATCAGCAGCAAAGTGGATAAACTTAGTTACAGTGATAATGGGTGCACCATTAGAAGATCCGAAAGGCCAACCTAAGGATAAATCGCTAAGTAGAACAACGATCTAGGTTATTGCTAGGAGTCAAAAATGGCTTGATGGCACACAATCATAAGGAAGAAGAAAACTGGCAGTCCTAATAATTATTCAAAATATAATTAGGGTTTCCATAGATTTTTAACAATGATATAAAAGTCATGAAATCAGATATTACAATGATGAAGTTGTAAAATATAGTTCAACTCTAGATATCTCAGATATTTAAGTTTAGGCACTAAACAAGATTTTTTTTAAAATCAAGATTTTACTTTTTCTGATTTCCCATTCAATAGTCACATTATTTGTGTTCATTTAATTAAGAATTGGAGCATTCTTTTTATTTATTCAATTTATATAACTTCCCACCTCACATACGTGACTCTAGGGAGCTAGAAATAAAATACATAATAAAAAAAAACCACACATAGCAGCTGGATATCATCAAACAATAAACATAGCCACGGGATGACTATTTACAATTTAAGGCGACATACATCTTAGCAATAAGCCATGTTCCAGACAGTCATTCTAGAACAGTTCCACAGAACTAAGTATATTTAAATATAGCTATTTAAAGCAGAATCTTTTTCTCAAGCTAGGCTGCTCTTCTGAAGAATGCTGGAAGTACAACACACATTGCACTCAGTGCAATGCATGTTGCACTCAGTGTGCAGGTGTCATTAAGCTATAATGTAGTTTGCTTGGTTTATGACTTAGCTATTGTGGTTAGTAAACTTTACAGGTAAATATTACGTATAAACTCAGTTATTGGCTGAGTCTGCACAATATACTAGGTAATAAATCTCTCTATAAAGCTATTTCTTGGATTCATTTAATACACATTATATCTTAGGACTGTGGGGTGCAGTATTTAGGTTAAATGAGTTAAAGATAGCTATTTACTGTATCAATGAGACAGAAAGCTCAGATTGCATTTAACTTCAATTAGAGATCACAGTCTGCCTTACATAGTAAATGAGATGTATTTAACGAATTGTTATTAAAATCCTGTCTCAAGTTGAACAGAGAACCCAATCACTCACTGAGTATGCTAATAGGCTGCTAAAACATGCTTGGCAATGTAATCCTAGAAAATTAGTCACTAGAAGACAATGCAAACCTAAGTGTGGTTTGTTTGTGTGATATCAGACAATTAGGGCTAATTTAGTAAACTCATCATATTGCTTGAAAGTTGGAAACAACAATTAATGGCTGTGTTGTATTTTACACTCAGCAGATATCCAGATAGAACAGATAGTTGCTACCCTATTCTGTATAAGGTATCACTATACACTTAAATTAAGACATAATGAAGGAGCATAAAATGAAATAAATAACATTAAGATGAAGATATTATATAACTAGATTTTTTTAAAAATATGAATACTGCTAACACCAACTATCCATAATATTATTGAAATCTATAATTAAACATTTCTTTTCACCTTTTGCTTTTCAGATCTTCTGGATTAAACTGAATATTAAGGACTCCAAGATCATTTTCATCACCTCCCACAGGAATTAGAAGAGAAGTAGCATCTTCCTCCATTAGAGAAGAATGTTTTGCACTTACTATGTTGTTCTAACCTTAGAAATGAAAGGAATATATTGTTAGAGGGGGTTATCTTTCCATTTCTATAAAGTTTCCTCATATAATGAAAATAAAATTATAGAATGAAATTTTCCCTGAAAACACACATTTATGTGGGACTTTAATAAAAAGGCGCTGTTTCCCCAACTGTATACTTGGAAATGACTGGCCTTTCTTTTTATTTTAAGTTTTTGGTTTTTTTATATAAATGCAGAGTATAGCTGAATTCTAGCTCAGAGATGACTTGATTTTAAGAGCAACTTTTAAAAAAAAGGTTAAGCTAGTTGGATTCACTAATGTGCATTTAATAAAACATTGAGTGAGTTTGTACAACCCACCAAGCCATAATGGCTGGATTCACATCACATCTTAAAATGAAACCAAACTAACCATATTATAATTTAACACGATGTGCAAATATGCTGCCAACTTGAATTGAGCACAGAGGCAATATTACTTTTCTTACTCCAAGGTTAAGATAGAGCCTGGTTTACGGTAGTGTTTTTGAAACCTGGCAACTTTAGGATATGACAGACTTCAACTCCCAGAATTTCCAGCATATTAACTGGGAATTGAAGAATTTTAAAATAGCCAGGTTTGAAAAACACTGGTTTATAGCAAACCTAAGTGGTTCCTCAGTGGTTTAAGTGATTTCTCAGCAAAGCAGTTAAAGCATTTTTTTTCACCAGTGAAGTTCAGAAATTGCAAGGTATATAGTGAAGCAAGACATCAGAAAATGACCACATATAGCAGACATATTAAACACAAGGCCCGGGGGCCGGATGCGGCCTGCAAAGTGGTTTCATGTGGCCCGCAAAGCCATCCTGGAAACAGTGAGGGAACGGCCCAGGCCAGCCAGGAGGGAGCCAATGTACAATTTTGTGGTGGCCATCTATGCTGAAACGCATTCAGTCTTAGCTCCACAAGGCTGTCTGGAAACAGTGAGGAACCAGCCCCTGCCACATCGCCCCCGCCCCCTGGGTGCATGCTGGGGAGGTGTCACCCTTTGTGAGGAATGAAGAAATGCACCATTGCCTGGAAGTGGCCAACAAATGGCCCTGGCCTACTTCACATATCTGGCTTGATGGGCTCCGGGGCAGGGGTTTCGGCAGACAGCGGGGAGCTCTCCTCACAGCGCCGAGAGGCTGAGCCGGGTGGCATGAATCTGATGAGAAGTGCAAAGCTGCCTAGCCCCCAGCCTGCCCAGTTTCAGCAGGCAGCAAGGTGCAAAGCTGGCGAGCTTCGCACCGCCCGGCTCAACCTCTCGGCACTGTGAGGAGAGCGCCCTGCTGCCTGCTGAAACCGGGCAGGCTGGGGGCTGGGCGTCGTCGTGCTTCTTTTGGGATTTGCGCCGCCTGGCTCAGACTCTTGGAGGAGGTAAGTGCAGGTGGAGAAGGAGATAAGTGCAGCTGGGCCCCCTTGAGGAAGTAGTGCTGGGCTTGGTGCCGTGGGTGCTCGAGGGCCAGGCTGGGCATTTGACCTCTGCTGCCCAGGGCTCCAGGCAGCCCGCACCACCATCCAGCCCCCCCACATGGCCTAAGAGGAACAGTGAGGCTCCTCCAGTGGACCATGCCTTGGCATTTGTCCTGGTCCCACCCCCTTCTGCCAGAGACCCTCAGATCTGTCCCACTCCTGCCCAGGCCCCCACAGGCACCATTGACGCGAACGATGTAGAGCTGGCCACACCCACCCAGTAGGCCACACCCATTCCATCCACGCCCACCCAGTAAGCCGCACCCCCCCTGGACACCCCCCCGAGGGCAACCGCAATGCTGATGCGGCCCTCAATGAAATTGAGTTGACACCCCTGACATATAGGTTCAGCAGAATTGCTATGTTTCCAAAAACCAACACCAGCTTTATTCTGTTTTCAATCACAATGAAAGATTGAGAGGGGGAGGGGAAAATTAACTCTCCAAATCAGTCAACATGATGCCATTGTACAGAATCTGCAGCTGGTTCCAAAATGGCAAAGAATCTTGTATACAAGGTGCAGAGATACATTACAGAGAAACACTGAAAACCTCTAGTGCTGTTGGCTGATATCATATTTACTAGTGATATTGTACAAGTCGCTCTAATAACATTGTTAAGACTAGCAGAGAAATTATTTAAAACAATATAGAAATGCATTATTTCATGAGTTCTCGTTACTTTAAGCATTAAGTGGGACAAATGTGTCCCTATACTGTAGTTCAAGCAGTGGGAAATCAACTGTTACTTTTTAATGAGAAAACATTATGATACTATTAAAAGAGTTGAAATATAAACAGATTTTAAAAAAGAAATGGCAGGCTATAAATGAACATCTGCATTCCAGAACAGAAAGGACACAGCATATTTTAACTGGAATAAAGAACAACACATATATCAATTGATTGAGGTAAGAAGAAAAAGCAAGTCATGGGAATCAGAAAGTAACTATGCAAATACTGGGGCTGACTCAAGTCTCGGGAAAAGTTATCCTGACTTCATTGAGCACTTTTTTAAACTGGAGAAATTATATGCATGTTTATACAAAAAGGATAAATAGGATTTACTAAATATCTAGATGGCCACTAAAGTTGAAATTTTCTATTATCTTTATGCTGCCATCCAGTGTATAGGTCTTCTGAATGTTCACAATCAAAATCTAATAACCCTAAGAAAAAATACTGCTTAGTTCAACACTAACGTCTACACACAGCTTGAATTTATAGAGGATCTCTTTTTGTGTACAAAATTACATTTGTAACTTCCTAAATCAGACATGCTAAACTGTTGGTCCTTCAGGATAAGGAACAGCATACATCCATTACAGTATGTGAACTGATCTATCCATTCAAGGCTAAGATTAATGTATCAAGAAACACATATGCATCTTATACTATTGCTTCTTGCACATTTCCTAAAATGGACAGATGGACATTACAATGCAAATTTGCTGGCTGGGGACTGGGACTGGGACTGGGACTGGCTGATGAATATACAACTTTTAAACACAAAGATATTTTATTTCATCCCTATTGCAACATACAAGCATGGAGAAGTGTGTCCTGAGATCAGAAAAAAAGATTCCTTGAAACTTGGGAACATACTGATGGACAGCAAAGAAAACCTGGTTTTCTATTCCATATATTAATACAGGTTGGAGGTTATTTTTGCATAATAAAGTTTCAGGTTTTGCTTGGGGCACATTCAAGCATGATGATTCCAGAATTCTGAGTCTGTGTTATTTAAACCAACTTCAAGTGATTGAAGCCATCTGAAGAAATTCTCCTTTCAATTATCCAACTATTTTTTGTCTTGGCCCTTTGTGTCTAGAGTTCCAATAAATAGTAACTGAAGACTCTAAAATCCTAAGAAAAGCTAAGAAAGCTTTATATATTTGCCATTAGGAAAATCTGTACTGTAACGCTGGTCTCATCTCAAACTTCATTTTGTATAATGTTCCCTCCAGGGGAATGCTTCTAAATCCATATTTCTCAAACTTGGCAACTGTAAGACATGTGGACTTCAACCCCCAGAATTCACCAGCAAGACACGAGGATGAAAATTGAAGTCGACATGCCTTAAAGTTGTCAAGTTTGGGAAACATTGTTCTGAATCAGCCTAGGCTTCCTTCTGCCCAGATAGCAGACACTTGATACAGTAGTGTGTGGCATCATTATAGTGGTGCTATGGCTTACAATACAATACAATACAATACAATACATACAAACTTAGGTGATGTTTGTTTTCTCTTAAAACAATGCCTTGATACCGCTGCACTAGTGAGTATAATTCCATTCCTCTCAATATGGGTAGGAAGGTTGGGTCAGGAGACCCATCACCAGGGGCCCTGGGATTTGGCCCAGTCTGAACATTTTTACATTTATCTATGCAGACATGCATGTCACCACAGTTCTTCAGTGCCATAAAATCACTTCTAAATCAAAATGCTCCCTCTTGCTATCATCCGATGGATCAAGTCTAATCAATGACCAGGAAGAACTGAAAAACCACTTGCCTGCACATAGACTGTCCAGTTTATCATGATGTCATACAGCTGATTCCTCAGCCGCCAGATGCCCTAAATCTGCCTCTCTTTACTGATAAGTTCAGAAAAGCAATCTTGCAGAAGAGCTCAAATAAAGCAACAAGGCAGAATCTACTAAGCCCTAAACCCAAATACTTGCAGGCCTTCCAAGACATGTTAGAAGACTTTTGGTCCCAAAGGAGATGCCTTATGACTTCCCTGACACCCTCATAGTGGCTCTCTATAAAATAAGGAAAGCAAACTGCAGAAATTTCAGAGGCATGTCACTATTATATCCACTCTGCTATCCATTAGAGGCAAGATCTTTGCTGGCATTCTCCTGAACAGACTTGCCACTCTCAGAAAGGAATGTCCCAGGGGCAGAATGTAGCTTTCGTCCAGAATGGAGTAACAGCAGACATGCTATCTATTGTGAGGCAAGCCCAGCAGAAGTACATCAGGCAGAACAATCCTCTTTACTCTGTCTTTATTGACATGACAAAGGCATTTGACACTAGATAGGGAGGCTTCCTGGATTATCCTGAGATGTTATGGATGCCAAAGGAAATTTGTGAAGCTCATCCAATTACTACCTAACAGAATGATAGGGCATGTTCTTTACAGAACAGGTTTATGTGCTAGCCCCAATCCTGACTGAATGGCTCTTTTTGGCCTTTGCTGGTGAATGCATGAACAAGTGCTTCCACAGTCATTCAAGAAACCTTCTTTGCTGATGACTGTGTACTCCTGGTGCACAAAGAGAGCAATCTACAGTTGTTACTGAACAAATATGCAGATGCTGCTATGCTCTTTGGCCAGATATCAGCCTAAATAACATTGAAGTATTTTACAAGCCAGTGCCAAATACCCAACTTGTAGAATCAAAAGTCACTATTAACAGCCCAGCTGATAAATGTAAACAACTTCAAATATTTGGGAAGCATCATCTCAAACAATGGGTCTTTGAACAAAGAAACTGACTCCAGGTTAGCCAG